CAGCGGAAATGCAGCGGAAATGCACTTCTGGGCTACCTGAACAGTCCCAGGAACCTGAGCTTCTGGGTCATGCCATAGTAAATCTTATGATGTGGGTACCAGTCGTACACCTCCTTCCTCTTGGCCATAGGGGGTTCCTGGAACAGCTGGACCACCTTCATAGATTTGGAGTCTGTCGGATGCACAACCTCCCCGAAGATCTGCGCGCTCAGTCTGGCCATGCGCATGGCATAGGTGGACAGACCGGCCATGACTGCTGAGCAGAGACAGGTGGAGTCCATATCACATGACTGAGCACTTTGTATACAGTGGTGACAATAACCATAGTTTTACACAGTTAAATGAGATGAGATGCAGAGCTTTGCGCTGTGTGTGCGCTGTGACGGATTACATGAAGCGCTCTCTACTAGCCGACCAATCACAGGCAAATATAAAATATAAATATAACTATTTTGATAATCATTTTAGACACTTTCTGAACTTCTGAGCAACTCAAACAAATTTGCTGCTGTTTTGTTAGAGCTGCACAATTAGTTGAAATAAATCATGAAATTGCAATGTGGACAAGTGCAATATGCTAACTGCAGAAGCTGTAATAGGTCAAATGTGTGAATTATAATGAAGAACTGCTGTTTGTTCGGTACAGAAAGCTTACAAATGATACATCATCTTTTTAAGAGTTTGGGTTTTTTCCAGTGAAAAAGAAAATCATGATTGTTTATTGCCAATTATCTATCAAAACCACATCGTGCAGCCCTATTTTTGTGTCATACATAACAGTAAGCTCAGTGTGTTTTGGTCATTTTAAGTTGTTTTGTGTCTCATTAGGAAACATATTGGAGGTGAAGCAGAGCTCTGAAGTGCTGCTGTTGGTTCAAAACTGCACATCGATGTAGTAATCACTCTGGAGATGAATATGGTAAAAACATCAGATTGCAATTATTTTGACAGATGTTGCAATTGACATGATTCACGATTAGTGGGAATGATCATTTTATGATTTCAAAAGATACTGATGTGACATTTGTTAGGCTCTGTACCAAACAAACATGTTCTCTTACATCTGAGGACAAGATCTGTAGACCAGGGAACCTCTTCAATACTAAAATATTTCATTATAATGCTACGATCAAAAAATTGGCATCTGTGATTTGCTTCTTGCACTTGGCCATATTGCTATTTCTATAATATTCTGATTAATTGTGCAGCCCTAAGATGAAAAGAAGCAGTTATACTCCTGTCCAACCCTTCCTGCCACAGCAGATCCATACCAACACTCATCTGCACACATACTAAATAACACAGCAGAATGAAACCTGAGATGCAGGTCATAGTTTTTATTCAGTGACTAATGATGTGACTGTATCTGCATGGAGTGTTACTGTAGACTCAGTATGCTGTGCCTACAACATTAGCAATATTAACAGAAATCCTGTTGTCAGTGTGATTTCTCTTTGTCTGTGCACATCTGTCGCACTGACTAACACTGTGAGTTCATGTAAGCGCATATGTTCTGTGCTTTAGTCACCATACCGGGTTAGGTGTTTAGACAGCTCCTCATGTGCTCAGCTAGCCTCCTTATCAACAATAACAACATGGCGTCTTACCTGAGTCTGGAGCCTGTGAGGAACAACGTACCGTTGTTTAGTCAAACGCGCTATAAACGCTACTAAAACACAGTTAGCCGCAGTTTAATAATAACTGTACTTTCAACGTTTCAGCTATCGTTAACCTTCACGAGCCATACTGCCATCATCTCTGTCGCGCATGACACATTTCCCGTGGCGCTGATTGGTTAGTTGCTTTCACTTCCTGTTCTGCCTCTTCTTCACTTTAATGGCGGAGTGCAATCATTGACTTTGAAAGTACATCCCGCCACCTACTGCACCGGAGTACGCAGAAATTGGTTTTACGTTTACACTGCGAAACAAGCGGACCCCTAAATAAATAAATAGCTTCAGTTTTCTGGGCATCCTTACCCCTCCTCCAGTTATTGTCTCTTTTTATATACAAAATATATTGCCCCACTTGATTGTGACCAACTAGAATATTTTGCGAGACAGATGGTCCTAGGAAGTCCAAGTGCAAATACCAATGAGACAATAAAAACACAGACCCATGTCAGACTCGAGTACTACAGTACTGCTCTGTAGGACAAAAAAATTCTTATCCCTCTAGTTTTTCTTGCCTTTTCCTCATTATACCTTTTTAAATTATTTTACCAAAAGGAATATCTTTCTTTTTTGTTGCACTTTTGTCTGCTCCTTTATTCCCTTTAATGCCCACATGGACAGGTACCCAACAGACTCTTATATCCTCTCCTATTCTATGACATTCACTTCCTGTTTTGTTGAAAGGTAGTATTCCTGGTTATCATTCAGCTAATTAGTTCGTTTAAAAAAAGGTATTGTTATGCATCTGGTGAATTTCGTAATACCTTTAAAATGAACTGGGCTATTAAAGCATTTTTATAAAGAATCCTATTTCAAACTGGAATTTTGTTCAATTGGGGCCTTGACTTATGCAGAGGTAGCAATTCCAACATTGTTTATGGACACCAGTAAGCAGAAATATTCAAATACACAAGGTGAAGATAACACATTTATACCATATGTTATATATGACATGTTATATTTGCATAATGTGGGGATGTCTGCGACTTGTGGTAAACATAGAACATATTTTCAGTCAGATATCTTGAGGTCAGAGGTCAAGGGTTAGGGTTACACAGGTATATTATTTGGAATAACAGAGACATTTTGTTTAAGAATAAATCACTTTTCTTTGAATGATGGCTTAAGAATCCTTCATAGTTTTTTATTTAGCCAGTGTGGATGTGAAATAGGTCTCCATTAACATTCATAGCCCCTCAACAGCCCCTTGTCACACACACCTTTAACCCAGGCCAGGGTTAACCTAAGCCCAGGGCTATATGAGGCGCTGCATTTCTATTAGCCATTAAAAATTAGGCAACAACTAAATTATTGAACTCAGTTGTTCATCAAAGCTTTTTCAACCTCAGACTCTTCAGTGATATCTAAGTGCATCTGCAAATACCTGTAACTTATATAGCAGATTGGGGTTCACTGTGTGAAATAGTGCAGCACTCAAGATACATATTATAAAAATACAATGTCTACTATTCTTCTTTGTATTGTTTATTGTGATTGTGTAGAATTTAAATGTGCATATGTTTCAGTCCTCTTTGCAGCATTCATTTTGTGTCTTTACAATTTACAACCAGGAGAGGGTGCCAGATGTGAAGAAATAGAAAACTGCAGCAGTAGATTCTTCTTAGCATTTTCAAAGCTTTACCTGGGCACAGCAGAGTGACACACAGGAAATAAAGTGGCCATGAACACAGACTCAGAGCGCAGACTCTGGCAGGGACAGGTCAAAATGAATTAGAGGAACATCATTACAATTCAGGTTGGTTCGTTGGGTTACACCAGAGCAGAAAAAGCCTTCACAACTATATTTGTCAATGTTTAGTGCAGTGGTTCCCAGCCATTATCCTTAAGGGACCCCCAACTGACAACCCCCTCTGTCTATCAGAGAGTGAGGGATCTGTGATATAGCCTGTGTTCAACTCTTCAAACTTTAGATCCTAAAAAGTTATGTTTATGTTTTCTTACAAGCCTTAAAATCAATAAGGCCGTGTGACCCTCTTTGCTTTGGTGGCCCCTGGTTTATTGTACCCACAATATAAAACGAACTACATATTATGGAATGAATTTGGAATAAAGTCAACCACCCAAACAAATGATTTCTCAGGTTTAGAGACCTTCACCATTTCGGAAATTTCACTCCACCTTTACCTGTCCCTGTCAGTGTATCGATTATGAGATATGGATCAGGGAATTTCAAATCTGTGAACATTTTTCCAGCTTTACTTCAGTGAAATATTTATTTGTTAATAATGTCTTTCCAGGTGATTTCTTTATTCTGTGTTGCATTGATGTATGAGTGTTTTCATTAAAAGCTACTTTAGAGAGACTGCTGTCAGGCATTTTGTGTTTGTGTGTCTGAACCTTTTGCTGTTTAAAAGAACACAAAACATTAATTAACATTAAATCCTGACCAGTCCTGTCAGTGTGTCTGGAGATTTAAGCAGTATAAATAAAGTTATGCTTGAAGGGAGAAACTTCACCTTATTTCCCTTCCTCAATCCATCTCCTATTAATCTGAATGTTATCCTAACTTTTATAACCCAGCTCAGGTTCCTCTGGCTCCTCCTAGTACTCCTAATGGTATTTGCAAGAATCCACCAGGCCTGGATGAAAACAACCTATTAGAGCTAAGAAAGATAGTTGATTATTGAGTCTCATTCCCAGGTTGTCAAATACAGATGCTTCGGGACCCTATGAGACTCAACAATTTTTTCACAGATTATCTGTCTAATTTACTACTGTCGGGATATAGTGAAAGTTTCAGCAAATATGACAAAAAATATGTTTATGAACCATACCTACTGCAGCTTTAAATCAAATAAATAGAATTTCAATTAAACTATAACAAAAGTGGTTGCCTCATGGTGAACTCCTGAGGGTGTGGGCCCCTAGACATTGTCATGCTTGGCCGGGTTAAGTCCATTATAGGCCTCATACTTTAAAATGTATAGCCTACTCTTACTTCCCATTGACTGTGTTCAGGATTTGTGCCACAGTAAGTCATAACAGCGGTAGTATGAAGAAGCATGGTAGTTTATGTTTGTTCAATCAAATATCATGTAGCCTGTAAGCTAACACCAGACGCCGCTGTTGATTGGTTGGTGGACAGGCCTGCTCTAGCAGCTGCCGTCATCCTCTCAGACGTGCTGGGGATGCTGACTCTGCTCCCTCTCCTCCTTTCCTCTCCTCCTCTCTCCTCCGGCTGATGGACTGCGGTCTGCACGGGCTGTTTGCACTACATTAGGTACATTTACTCTCTCTAAATTAAGCGGGTGTCATTTGAGGCGGTCCTGGTTTGCATTGTTTTTTGTAAATGGGCAAATCGCTCTAGCTCTTTCTACAGTTTTCTCTCCTCCTTCATTGTCCGTGGCTGGTTTTAGTGGGTGGGTTATGCAGTGGGGGTGGTATTCTGTGTGAAATATAGCCTTAAGTGTGCTTTACTAAAACACCTGAATGCTGTGCTGATGTGTTTTGTGCGTGTCCCCTGCGCAGACGGATGGATGCTGGAGATCCGGGGCTGAGATGAGATAAGCGTCTCTGTCTCCGTCGAGCTGCTGCAGCGCCGAGCACGCAGAAAAGAGTCGGAATACGGGATTTAACGACTGATTCTGCCTGTGAGCTGAAAGCTTTGCCTCCTATTTTGCGCCGCCACCCCGATAATGCTCCTGCCGCTGCTCTCCAGAGGTGATGTGAGCTGAACTTGCTGGAGGGGGGGGGTGAAAGCCGCAGAGGAGCTGTCCGTCTGTCGAGGTGCTGATGCGGCTGTGACAGAAGCGAGCATGGCTGCCGGGAAGTTGCTGCTCTACGCTGGGCTCTCTCTTTCTCTCTGCGCCCTGGGCATGCTGGCCGTGGCGATGTGCTCCGACCACTGGTACGAAACCGACGCCAGGAGGTACAGGGACCGGTGCCGAAGCTTTTCCAGCCGCCGCAAGGACCCGGGCTTCATCTACATCCCCAACAACAGCCTTCCGCTGCGGGCCAGCCGGAGCAGCCTGCCCCGCTGGGAGGAGAAGCTGCTGCTGGCCCGGAACCGGCGGCAGCTGTTCGCCATGAGCGCCGCGGACGAGTGCAATAGGCAGTATAACTCAACCAACATGGGGCTGTGGAGGAAATGCCATCGGCTGGGCTTCGATCAAGAAATCGAAGACCTCATCCGGAAAGGTAAGAATGGAAGTCGGACAGCTAAAGAGGCTAAAGTTGTTGCAGAGACAGCAGTGTGCATTCCACACTGTTAGAAAATCAATTAGTCCGCTCTGTAGTGGTTGTTCATTTGACCAAAGGGCGAACAAGGGCACTGAGCTGTATTTCATTGCTGCTATGGAAGCAAATGTTTGTCCAAAGGCATGCCCTATGTGTGTGTGTGTGAGTGTGTGTGAGAGAGAGAGAGTGGGTATGGACGGCCTGTGGCTGCAGACTGCTTGTTGTCATGCTATTTTGCAGAAGAGGGGCGCATGTTAATTATGTCCCTATTCTCAGGTCTGATTGTGGCTCTTGGTAAGTTTTAAGTGGTGCTTACCTGACAATGTAACTGCAAATAATGACATAATCATTCCTGGGTGTATGGGCTGGACAGTAAGCACTCGGGAAGAGGTGGGGGTGGGGGGTAATCATAGAGCTGTTTCTTTATGGTCTTGAATCTTCTAAAAAGAGTTCAGTCAAGTGCATTCTACAGATGCTGCCCTTTACTCAGTTTCCAAAGATTCATCACTTAGTTCTAGATCTATACAGGCCTAATGTGCAGGGCTGGACTCACCTGCCTGGGTGACCTCGGGCAAAACTGAGCTGGTGGCACCGGAGCAAGACCCCATTCTTCCCACACATGTGTACAGTGTTCTATATGATGGAATAATACATGGCCCACAGATTATTTTACCTTTGAGTAACATTTAAAGGGTAACTGGTATATTTCAACCTGGATGGTATCTAAAGGTAGCCAGTATGGTTGGCTCAGTCCTGACTCTGCCAGCTCCCGAGCTGAGACGGGCTGAATGAAGCCTGGTTACTGAAATCAGTGACAGCACCCACCTGTCACTCAAAGTTGACACACCCTTAATTATGCATGAGTTTAAGCCTTAAAATAATTTAAACAAGTGAGTTCTAAAAAAATTCACCCTTGTACAATTGTCAT